AACTAGAAAAAGAAAGATTTGGTTTGGTAATACTGTCATTTCCAGAATGCCATGAATGAAGCAGCTTGCTTAAAGACCTGTTATGCTATAGGTAACCATCCAGCTGTCTCTGATGATGGTAAAGAGCAAGTGCTTGAAGCACAGCACATTCATTATGAAAACAGTATAATCCTTATCTACATTTACTGACCCTGCTTAAAGCCATAAGAGAGCTGTTGAACCAAAAGTACAATTGAATTGCTCTGTTTAAAAGTGACTAGGGGACCTGTCCGCCATGAGTTTGTTTAGTCCCTTTTGGTTCCGTGTAACAGGTCCTTAGTTGTGGTATGCACCCTTTATTCATTTGAAACCTGATGCCTCCCTTGCTCTCTCTCCTGTTTTCCCATTGCTTCTGTGAGAAATAGTGAAAGGTACTTGCTTCCCTTTCCACATTGAATGAATTAATGATTTGAAGCTACTTGGAACACTCAAAGGCACTCACATGATATTCAAACCAGGGACAGAGCATTCTCGCCCATATGCAAAAAGCCCTCTTCCACTCAAAATGGTCCATGTGCAAGCAGAGTGCCTGAAATCCAGGGAGCTCATGATATTTACATGGACACATGGTGTTCCCTGTAACTGTATGTGAGCTTGCAGAGGTGAAGAGCTCTGTTTGGGGCGAGCGAGCTGCTGTCCAAAAAGGGCTGATCTTAATTGTATGTTCATTCTGAGAAGTTCAGAGCACCACTGGAGGCTAATGCTCTTCTGCCATTCCCTGCAGGGAGACAGGGAGACAGAGCAGTGCATCAATCCCAAACTGGTCCATTTGCTTTGGTTTGGAGAGCTGAATTCTATACATATGGCAAGTGTTTAATCAGCTGGTGCAAGGGCAGTAACCTTGGACAGAAAGGTAGAGCAAAGTGGTAGGGATGAGGAATGCCCTAAGCTATTATAAAGAGTCATAGCCCTTTTCAGTGATGCACTTCTTAGGTACATCTAGGCATGGGCGAGGCAGGCTGGCAGAGCAGGGTATAGCACTGGTGTCCAGCTGCTCATTCCTACACTAAAATTAGCACCCTGAGAGAAAAAAAGCTTCTGTTTTAGTAAGTACTTGGCTTATTTATTAACCAGAGGATGAAGTGTGACTAATGACTAGTAAACGTATATCATGGAGTGTGGATCATCATAAGCTTCCATTTTATTATTTTAATAAATGATAGTAATTCAATACTCCTAAATGCTTTCACCTTGGGTGATTGAAAAATGCGATGTCATTATCTGCAGTGTTCCCTACAACGTGGGCTCAGCAGAGTCCTATCAATAGTGTAACTACTGGGAAAGCACTCTTGTTTTCCAAGGCTGTTGAAAAATTCCAAAGACTTCAGTGTTTGAAATAGAAAGCAAACAGAACATTTAAAGTAGTGCTGTGGTGACAAAGTTCTGATGGGACCAAGAAAGTGATGCAGAGTTGGCAGTGCTGTGTGCCAGGCCTGGCCAGTGCCTCACAGCAGCACTGTGCAGGTGGGATCAGTTCTACCTTTCCCAAAAACTTTTTTCAGTTCCCTGGAAACCTAAGGGGGGTGGTCAGGCAGTGGAAGGAGGACGGCAGGGCTTCCAGGCTCCTGCAGTGTGCGAGGAGCTGGTCAGCATACAGGGAGCAGAGCCAGCCAGTGTTCTATTAGGTTCTTTAAGCGTTGTGGTAGAGCACACCTAAATCAAGAAGAGGACATACCTGAATTGGTGGCTGGAAGCAGCAGCAAAGCAGAAAATGTAGCTGGAAGAGCACATTGCTCTCAAGGGGAGCCTCTAAAATACCTGTAAATTCATAAGGGAACAGTCTTCAGGGCTGTTGTTTGCCTTGAACCTGGGAAGGAATCAAAGTCATAGGGTAATGGTTAGTGTTGAAAGGAACTTTAAAGGTCATCCAGTTCCAACCCCCTGCCATGGGCCAGGACACCTCCCACTAGACCTGATTGCTCCAAGCCCCATCCAACCTGGCCTTGTACACTTCCAGGGGTGGGGCAGCCACAGCTTCTCTGGGCAGCCTGTGCCAATGTCTCACCACCCTCACAGTAAAGAATTTCTTCCTAATGTCTAATCTGAATTTGCGCTCTTTCAGCTTAAAGCCATTACCCCTTGTCCTGTCACTACATGGCCCTGTAAAAAGTTCCTCTCCAGATTTCTTGTACACCCCATTTAGGCACTGGAAGCTGCTCTAAGGTCTTCCTGGAGCCTTCTCTTCTGCAGACTGAACAAGCCCAAATCTCATCCTGTCTTCATAACAGAGGTGCTCCAGCCCTCTGTTCGGCTGTATTTGTGCTTGGGAATGCCCCAACCTGTGTGCAGGACCTTGCACTTGGCCTTGCTGAACTTCCTGTGGTTGGTATTGTCCCACCTCACAAGTGTGTCAAGGTCTCTCTAGATGGCATCCCTCCCCTCCAGTGTGTTGACCTTACCAGACAGCTCAGTGTCATCAGCAAGCTTGCTGAGGGCGCACTCAATCCCACTGTCCATGTCACTGACAAAGATGTTAAACAGTGCCAGTCCCAGTGCCAACCTCTGAGGGATGCCACTCATCGCTGGTCTCCACCTGGGCATCAAGCCACTGACCACTACTGTCTGAGTGTGACCATCCAGCCAATTCCTTACCCCCTTAGTGGTCCATCCATCGAATGTATGCCTCTCCAATTTAGAGTCTAAAGCCCAAGTTAAAGGACTTTAGACCACTCTGTTGTTAAAGGTCATGAAAGTTTAGAAACGAGGACAGTGATGGCAGTGGGATCTGTTGGACCACAGTGTGTATTTGCAGGAGTGCCTGAATACGAACGCAGTAACTTTTTAACCTGCCAGTTGGAGACTTGTCCTACCCTTTTCATGTTTTACGTGTAGGTAATAAATAATTATGTAGCTCTACACCAAACAGATCAATATGTTTGAGAATTTTATCCTTATACTAACTTTAGTGTTGATATAATACTTACTGCAATGATATTGACTGCAGCCAGGTGGTGAAGGGAGAGTATAATATGGGATTATTGCCTTGCCTTTTACCATAAAGATTTTTCTGTATTACAGAGCTCTGAGAAAAGGTTTGTACCCTAATAATAAAAAAGTTACTGTTTTAAGCATTTTTCCTTCCACTCTTTGTAACACACTCAAGCATACGCACACGTGTGCACGAACAAAAATGCAGTTCTGTGTCTAGGCTAGTAGCACCATGAACTGAGTCAAAGAAGCAGTTTTCTTATAGACTTGATAATCTGGGAGGTTGATTGGGAACAGACCCTACAGTTTATTACATCTTTGAATAACTTTGCTCATGTCAGATTTGATGGCAATGATAATGTAAATCAGACTGTTCCAGGTACAACATCAGACCACATTGTGTGCTTGTGTACATCTCATTTGAAGTGGGGAAAAGAGTGCTGTTTTCATGTGCCTGACATAATCCTGCTTCTTTTGAAATTGATAGCGAATACTCACATACTGTGAATTGTGGGTACTCTGCTCCTTTCAGGGTTTAGGATATTACTGTGTTACTTAAACATGTAAAATACATGTATCATGTTGTTGACTGAGGATTGTCTCCAGCATTTGAAGCTGTGACTTTTATTTAGCAGAGATGTTTACATTTAATGCATTAGTGTTTTATCAAAAGCTTTTGTGTGATGTATTTATTGTACGAAGGTTTTTTTGACTTGATGTACAGGCTGTACATTCATTTGACGAGTTTATTCTTTTAACAAGTTGGGTAACCATTTGTGATTCACAGGTTTATTCACTGGGGGGGTATTAATTTAAAACTTGCACTGTATTCCTTAGCAGATATTTATTGACTGGTTTACACTGTACAGAACAGGATTTGAGTAAATCAGCATGCTGTAAATTTACCTTTTTAACAGGTTTATTGCTTTTAGCAGGTATTCACTTAGGATGTGACTGCTCCACCATAAAAATTTTGCAGGCATGGAATCATTTTTGAGGAAAATAATATACTGTAGAGCAAGGTGCATACATTAGCTATCCTATAGATACAAGTAGAATAAGAAAAGATGTTTTCTTCTGCAGACCCCAAAAGTCTTGTGCAAAAACATTTATTCAAGTGCAGTGCATTAATGGAAGGCAGAAGTAAGATATTGCAGGACCTGAAGGGCATGAAAAGAGAGCATTACCATTTTCCTTTCCTCAGACGGGGGAAATGTCTCAGCAAAGGCAAGCTCTGAAACCCATTGACTCCAGGGAAGTTTCATCAAAACTGAAAAATTAATGATCACTAAGTTTTGTTTCTCTTTCTCTTCCTGTTTTTGCAAATAACAAGTTATACTGTTCTGACCACAAGATGAGGTCTTTCTGTCTGCAGCAAAGATGCCCCTTTATTTTTAAAAGTCTGTTGTGGTACTTGTGGAATTAGTAATTATGTTAACAGCAATACTTTTTGTTGTTGTTCATGTTTGGATATCTATAAAAAACCCTGGGAAGTGAATTGATCCCTCTTTTTAAGTCCAAGTGTGTTTCTTACTGTAACCTTTTAACAAGAAGTTGTTTATTGATAATAACCGTCTCAGAAATTGGACAGTACAGATAAAAGACATATAATGGTGTATATAAATGATATAAAATACATATAAATTTTATACATGAATGTGATAAAAACTTTTAAATCTGTAAAATACTGAAAAATGCTTTTATAAAGTGCAATTCTATCGAGTGAATAATCATGTTAAAATGATCTCTTCCTCTTAAACGGCTCTGCTCAAAAAGGCTCATAAATGCTGATTTTAGCAAAACCAGTTTTTCTTCTGAATGAATTAATCAAATTGGTTATGAGGGGATCTTTAAGACATCTCCTAGTATAAAATCTTGCATTTCAGTTGTTTATCAGGTCAGTTTGCTTTTCAAAAAGCATTTCAGAAAGATTCTAAAATGTGTGTTATGTGTGTTACACAAGTTTAAAACAGTTCTAGGTATACCTACCAAGTCCAGCCACTTACAAAGGTATGGTGTTGATTTTCTTTTAGCCACTCAGCAAATATCCACCTTTGATCAATGACATCTCCTTTTGGCTACCTTCTGAGACATACTCCAAGAATGATTTCTATGAATTGGCTCGAACCATTGGTGGAGACCTGATAGAAAAGGTTGTCCTAGTGGATGAATTTACCCATCCAAAGTAAGTACATTACTACCTTTTTCTTGTGATCAGAATATAAATACTTTAGTTTCGTACGCCAAGAAATTCTTACAGTCTTTGCACATTTCATTTTTTAGCTCTAAAAAAATTTAACAACACTTTCAGGAAGTATTTTTACTTGAAAACAGTATTGTATATTTGTCTTTATATCAGTCACAGCTCAGCTCATGGGTCATGCTTCTCTTCTTTACTGAGAATATTATCTTCCATACTAGTAGAGCGGTGAGGTAGGGACAGGATTCACTGTTCTAGATTTGTGCTGTATGCGTTTTCTCCTTTGATATGCTGTGACATATCCTGAACCATATACCAGGGGTGGCAGTTGTTCAGTACAAGATCGTTTCTTCCTCCACGAGGAATACAACTCTGGTTCCCTCTGTGATTTCTGCAAATAGATGGGAAAGATGACTGCTTGTTGAGAATTGTTACACAGACTTAGGATTTAACTAGCGTTGTCCTCTAAAGCCATTAAACCCTCACTTAGCAAACATTCAGGTATGTTTTGACACTGCAAGAAGGAAACATTTCTCACCTTCTAGTTGGTGGGATTGTTGATAAGTGATGTTGTAGTCCTCTTAGTTTACAACAGTAAAAGAAATGTCTTTTAAAATGCCTCATTAAAAACAGTAATTCCAAGGATATTATCCACCTCATTAAAATATAATTATAGGTAAAGACTGTAAACATAATGACCTTACTTCTTAGAACACAGTGATGCAGGTATATAACTTTTGTGGACTGATAATATAAGCCACGCTAAGTAATTCTGTCTGTTCTCTGAAGCCGTTGGAAGACTGAGTCTCTGAAAAGTGTTCTGCTTAGTCTTAATTCCAAGATAATTGTCTTGTTACAGGAACAGTACAGTGGCTTCTCTAATTCAGTGTTGCAGAAAAGCCTCTGGGCACAGAAATTAACAGAAGAGATCCTCAATGTTGCTATGGATGTGTGTGTTACAGGTTCAGATACTTGTAATCATTATCTTGAATTTGTAGTAAATCTGCTGTGGAGGATGGGAGAAAAGTGCATAGGATAGGAATACCTGCAATGCTGCTGTCTTGAATGTTTGTTACTTACAGGAAGCTTCCTAAGTTCACTCTTGTAATTAATCACTTCTAGAATTTAAAATTCGGGCTTTTTTCACCCTTTAAAAATACCAGTTCCATGAGGAATTAGGACATTTGGCATTCTTGTTTTCCTTCTTAAAATAACTTTTCTTGGTTACAATACTATAAAGATTGGAAAACAGAAAATGCTATACAAATAAAACTAATTCAGAACAGAGAAAGAGGTCTTTTAATTAAGATCCTTTATAGAAGCTATCTATGTGATACTGTGTAGTTACTTTCTAGACTTCTGTGTGGTTTAGAAACCTTTGAAGCTTACACTGGGCTTCGGACTGATAATCGTGCTCCATTACATTACAATTACAGTGTGTATTAGCAATGAAAATGTATTCCTCTAGAGGGAAAAGGAAAGGATGGGAAAAAAGCGTAAGACAAGTAATTGTTTAAACAAGGAAGAGATGTCTTGGAAAAAAAAAAAAATCTTGAGTATCTGCTTTGTAAGGTGATAATATTGACACATCTTTCCAGAAAGCAGAGGCAATTAAACGAAACAGCAGGAAGGAGTCTCCTTGCTGAAAAGCACAAATTTAGGAGAATGCCAAGTTAATGTGCTGGGGTAATTAAGAGCTGTTCCAGCCCAAATGCGGAAAAAGTAAACTTAACTAAACAAGACACAACACTGAGGCAAACCCAATGATGAGTGAAGAAGGCTTTCCAGAAGATAAACTTTTTGGTTCAGTTTAGTCTGCAGATATTTTATTTTCCTTGCAGCTGAAATTAATGTTAATAGATGCCAGCCTAGTGAGGCTAGATCAGCTGTAGCATGTTTCAAGCAGCAAGCTTTTTCATGCTGCAGTCACATCTTTGAGGCAGAAAAATAAGCATTTCCTATTAGAAAATAATGTTCTAGCAGTAGTTAGGACATGCAGACTGAAGTTAAATCTCTGTATTTAACTTTCTTGAATTTTCTGATTCCTCCAAATTCCTGTTCACCAGTACAACAGGTAGACCTCCCAAAGGAATCATAGAATCATAGGTTAGGGTTGGAAAGGACCTTAAGATCATCAAGTTCCAACCCCCCCTGCCATGGGCAGGGACACCTCACACTAAACCATGCTGCCCAAGGCTCTGTCCAGCCTGGGCTTGAACACTGCCAGGGATGAAGTAATCACAACTTCCCTGGGCAACCCATTCCAGTGCCTCACCACCCTCACACTAAAGAACTTCTTCCTTATATCCAATCTAAACTTTCCCTGTTTAAGTTTTGACCCATTACCCCTTGTCCTATTACAACAGTCCCTCATGAAGAGTCCTTTCCCAGCATCCCTATAGGCCCTCTTCAGATACTGGAAGGCTGCTATGAGGTCTCCACACAGCCTTCTCTTCTCCAGGCTGAACAGCCCCAACTTTCTCAGCCTATCTTCATATGGGAGGTCCGTATGCTTTGTTCCAAGCAAAGAACTGAGATTTAGCAGGTAAGTCAAAGTAGGTAGCTTTTGTGTAAAGTGTTTCTGGAAACCAGGATAACTGTAGGGATGCTTAGCAGGAGCCCTCTGATCCACAAGAACTTCATCACTTTACTTTCATCCCAGCAATTCCAAGCAGGTCCACCTGCTCCTGACACTCCTTCTGAGTCAAAAGTGTAAAACTAAAAGGAGGACATGGACTTTTCAGGTGTCTGCAATACCCACACACCTCTCTACATTACAGATATGTGTCTGCACTAGGTACCACATGAGAGGAGATGTGTGGATCTCTGCTGCTGAACAACACTTGGAACATTAGGTGGCTGCTCAGGGGGTTTATTTCCATGGTCAGAATGGGAAATCTGGGAAGAGGGGATTCTTGAGCAAGAGAGGAGCATCACCTGTGCAAGATATGACTCGGCACATGCATCCTGGGGAGTGAGTAGTACATGAGACTGAACAGGTCAGAGGATAATCCTGTCAGCTGTTGATCCATTCCCATCACCTATCGCAGCGTAAAAGGCCATCATAGACCGGCACAACCAAATGCAGCTGGTTGTAAAACCTACTTACCTGTAAGACAGTAAGACCTACTGTCACCTGATTTTTAGGATATTCTTGGAATCTAAATATTGTGTCAAGCTTGTCCTTATGAATAACGAAAAACATAGCTGCAGCACCATCATTATTCAGGCATATGAAGAATAAATAAGCAGATATGAAAAAAAAAAAACTTGTAGTTTTGCTGAGACACCAAGAAAACTGAGTGAAACTGTGGCAGTTATGGCAAGAACAGGTGTTGAGGTATGTGTAAGGCAAGCAGAATAGAGAAGAAATGTTCCTTTGCAGTGAGCAGAATGTTTTCCACAGCCTATCTCATGGATTTAAGCTGTCTTTGCCTGATGCATCAGCTACAGTCATTTAGATTTTCATACCTTTGGTTTGTGGAATATATCTTTCTGTGCATGGTCTGTAAAATCAGTTCACTGTGACTTGCCTTGAGTTGTCATCTGTTGCATGAGTCATGTGACCAGGTACTGTTTCTGTTAACTGACTGAATTATTTCTTTGCAGTCCTTGGAGATCTTTAAGGACCTTTAAGCATTGCTGTGCAAATACAAAATGAGTGAGGATCTGTGGCTGGCATTTTTCAATTTGCAACATTCTATATTGATATTGAAGGGAGGAAAAAAAGTCTGAGTTTTTTTCCTTTTTGCAATGGCTGTTGTACTCTCTATCTCTACTTCAGGCCTTCTACTGCTCACCTTATCTGAGCTGTCTAATCAATATGAATTGACCTATAGAAGTTAAATCAGAAATCAGAAAGCAATATCCCTTTCACTGATCAAGACTTCTCCAGTTTCAGAGAGGAAACAGGTTCACAGGGAAAAAGAAAGTCTGGCTGGGTAGCAATCAGAAGGTAGAAAGGTCTCTGCCCACCATGGATAAGCAAATCAAAACTACTGCCATGCAGAAAATCACAGTAAGAGCAGTGTCTTGCATTTCTGAGATATTCAGGGAAGTATTGCGACCACACAAACATGGAATTCCAGTAATGAAAGCATGCCTGTCCAAAATAATAGAGAAGATATTGGCTAATTAAACATGGTAGAATATGTGGTAGAATAGGCATGTGTGTGACCTGTGTTGTTCATGATGAAGAGGACAGAAAATACTGATTTTTTAAAGTTTGATACTAAAATTTCTTTTCTGTTTGAAAGAGAAGGGAAGAAAGGAAGGAAGGATATGCCTCCGCGTCTTCTGTTGTAAGAAAGATACATAGGTAGGCTGAAAAAAGTATACAAAACTGTAATCAAGAAATGCACTGTGTCCTCAGTGGTACTTAAAGAGGTAAATTTTTAATCAGAACAACTAAAAATACCCTGAAAAGGCAGTGTGGAGACTGTAAGGGAGGCAAAATTGATTTGCTACATTTTGACAGCTGTGATGTTAAAAATACGAGAGGGGAATAGGTAAGAAAGGTTTTATTCTTGCCTTTGTGTGAATTACTTGCATGCTTCTGGGGTGAGAGCTGCACATTTCTAAGAGTCTGTTAAATGAAGTGAGAGGAAATGTATTGGCTGCTGTGAAGAGGAAGATAAGTGGATTGTGGCACCATCTTTAGAGACTTTGGGAGTACTCAGATGACCCGTGTCTCTTCTTTTCCATATAGTAAAAGGAATGGATCTGACAGTGAAGAGTTAGATTGTATTGACTGTTGTGTTGTCAATACACACTCTTAGCATCTTGTTAGTGTATAGGAAAAAAAACATAGCAACATCATTTTCCATTTTGTTGTCAGGTTTATTGCACTTTTCCTTATCTAGCTGAAGCTTCAAATACTTTTAGGTCTGCTTTAGTTATTGAAGCTGGCTTGGTTCTTGAACAGGTGAATTAAATCAGAGTAATTCTGAAGTGCTGCTTGCTGCTAGTATTACTCAAAACTATCA